TTTACTCTCGTTCACTGTAAATTTTTTTTTCCTTGGAAATAAATTTGGGTTTCCCCAATTAAAAAAGAAATTTAAAGGGGCACGATTAACATGGGCAGTGTTATAAAAAATTTAAATTTAAAGGGGAAGTTTTGCCAATAGGGAAAGGGAGAGGGTCGTAAAATAACAATTTCTTTTTTTTCTAAAACTTAAAAGAAAATTTCTATGAAAGATCTTTGGAAACCAAAAAAATTTTTTTACAGAATTTATTGAAACCCCACGAAATCCTTTCTGAAAATTTTTTAAATTTTAAGAAAGGGGTTCAAATTTTAATTGAAAAACTGCTAATAGTGTATAGAGTTGAAAACATAACATTAATTACTTTGGAAAGAAGCCGGAAAACATGTTTTTTTTTTTATTTAAAAAGGGGTGTGTAGAGTTATAAAAAATTTTTTTTAAAAATCCAATTTTAGCATTGGGATATCCACAAACTGTGAAGGGAAAAATAAAAGACTAAATTTTGTAAAAAAAACTTTTCAATCATCAAAATTTTTAAACCAGGGAGGAAAAGCAAGAAACGTCAAACTTTAACTTTAAAACCCCGTATCCATCAGGACATGTTTCGAAAAAACTTTTCCCGGGAAGACACAAGTATGCCCCTAGAGCAATTTGTCCGGAAAGACGGGAAAACCCCAATACTACGCCCCCCTTTTATTTTTTACAAAAGTTCGGATTGAACGCTGAGACTGAAAATTTAAAAACAAATAGCGCAAAAAAAAAGAAAAGTGGGCCATTATTTTTTTTTAAATTTTTGAAATTTAAACTATTAAATGAATTTATAAGGAAACTTAAAATGGTTTTGGGAAAAAAACAACACCCCGTCGAATGATGAACCACCAGCTGCCCGCGTTCTATTTATACTGATTGGGATTAAACTAGAACTCGCCCACCTACTTGAAAATGTCATAGCTATTTTTGAAAATTGAGCAGGAGTGCTGATGAATAAAGTAAATAAATCCTTGACAAAATCTAAAGATTACATAAGTTTATGTCATGTTTGTATCATTTCAAACCCCATCCTATCGTTTCAAGTTAGCGTGGTCATTGTATGAGTATTTTTGATAAGGGTAGTGTGAAATATTTGATACTTCATGACCATGTCTCATGCAACTAAATAATCTTTATTTGTTTTAACGAGGCTGTATGGTGGCTTAATTAGCGTTAACGTTACAACCAGGTTATGTTAGGGATGTGGAATAATTAAAAGTTAAATCAATGACGCAAATACACTGTTATGTACCATTCAAGTGTTTTAGTATTCTGCGTAAATAAAAGTTCAATTTGTAGGACGATTCTTTTTTATCTTTACCTCAATTAAAATATAAAAATGTGCTTCTTAAGCTTGGTTTTAACCATGCAGATGGCTTCATTTAGTTTCATTTATTATATATGATGTTTGTAGAAAGCTATAATTTATAACTTGATATGATTTATAATTAGTATTACATTTTATGTTGATTTCACGATGTATGATTAGTCTCTTATAATTCAATATTTGAATAGTCATGTACTGTTTGTGTACTGTTTGTGGTATAACAGGAGCTTCCGAATTTTAAAATTGTGTATGTACATGAATGAGAGACTTAAATAGAAATATCGATACCTTACATATTTACTAGTATTACTGAATAGTAAAATATTTATTTCTAAATGACAAACACAAAGTATATAATTATATAAGAATTTATTTTAGAATACATCCGGGCGGTATCCACATGCGTACACAGTACGTTTAACAAATCAGCATATAAGATGGCCAATGTCAAAACTTTATTAAACATATACCATTAAAACTATAACTAAAACTACTATCACTTAGTGACAAATAAATCAACATATCTCAAATCGTAATGATATATCTAGTAAGCAAATACTTAGGAAAGATATCATCATATCAATAAGTGTATACAACACAAAACAAAACTAGAACTGCCACTGTCATGGCGTAAATACCCCCGCATATCACTTTGTCAGAATCAACAGTGCTCATTAAGAGCTCAAGGACAACCTCCCAACCAAATCTTAGAGTAGTAAGCAAGTGTATTGCTAACTTATGTATTCTACATGTTTAAGTGGAGAAGTCAAAGAGACCTTTACCTTTAACCTACTGACCTCAAAACTGAAACTGCCACTGCATGACTTGAATACCCCCTCCCATTCGTGGGGCCTTGTCTGTGGATGTTTTATGATGAATATATGAGAACATAATTATATGCTTCAAATGTGAAAATATCAAAATCAATACACTATTGACAGGCATTCTTAAGCATTTGAGCAGACAAGTTTATTGTAGTAAAAGCCCCTGTGACCTTGACCTTTGACACAGTCACTTAAAAATCAATAGGTTTTTTATTTGTTTGGGTCGTCAGACCAAACAAATAATGGTAGCGAAATTTCAGAGTCTAATGTTTTTAATTGCAAATGCCGAAAGTAGTCCACTTTTTTGAAGCGGTTACTTCCCTTTTGTATGTACACTAAAGCCGAAAAATTCAGGGGAGATCACTGCGTAAAGATGGTCAAAGACAGGCGCAATCAATTTTCAAGCAAAGTAATTCCCGAATGGTCGAAGATTTCTAATATTGTTTTATTGTATTTTCTGATCGAAAATAACTAAATACAAAGCGGACATTCAATCTCTGACACAGAAGTTTACGACAAACCTAACAACAAGTAGTTCTCAAAACAGCTTAAAACTAGCGATTTAAAAGAAAGAAATATTTTATTTTGTTACAAGTATCCAACAAAATTACAATGCATTTAAAGTTAAACAATAGCGTTGGCTTATAGAATTGTCAATAAATGCACAATCACAAATTACGCGGATGAATATGATTTTATCAATGAAAATACTATTTTTAGCCATGTCGATTACCGAATACTACACAAACCGAGTAGTGGAATATATAGATTCTACATGTCGGACTGTTTGGGCGAGAGGATTTTCGCTAAAATATTTACTTCAATTTTAAACAACAGGTTTACCCTGAACAAAATACCTCGAAATTAATAAGGATTACAAACCCGAACTGCAATGGAAGATCTAAATATAGAATGACTTGATATTATTCAGACAAGTAATGTATAATTACTCCGTGGTACAGTGGTAACGTGCTCGCCTTGTGAGTGAGAGGTCTCGATTTCGAATCCCAGTCGAGGAAACTTTTTTTTTTGTAAAATTTTTTTTTTAAGTGTTTTTGTTAAGGAAGTAGCCATGATATACAAGGATAAAGTGTGGCTGTCGTAAAAAAAGAACATAAATGATTTTTGATGCAACTCTAGTTATGCAGAATTCCGTATGTATCAAACTCTGGTGCCTTACAAAAGGAAATATAATACATAAAAATAAACTTATACAGGAAAATGCATACAGATATACAGTACAATTTAGATTGCAAAGATCAGAAAATACCACAGAACTTGCAGCCCTTTGATTATTTATAAATATGCATGCTTATAGTAAGCTCCAGGATTATTTACATCTGTGTTAAACAACAGTTAAAGTCGTTACAAGCCCTAATTTAGAATAATATGGTTTTCTTCAGACCGTTCACATATAAATTCACCGTGGCTGAAGGGTTTTCGGGCTCGCTTAGGAAGCGAGAGGTCTGGAGTTCAAATCCCAGTAAAGGTAACTCATTTTTTTAAATTGTTAAAGTCAAATAAACATTGGATTGAATATCAGTGTTGCAATTAGTCTTATAGCCCATTTACTACAATTAAAACGCTGGAAAGCATTGGTGGCACTAAACATATAATCTCACAACCTGCACCTTTCTTACATTCTGAGACCCAAACAAATTCAGCGCCTTCTGTGCTTTGATTTTTTTACATGATGGGACTGGTAATAACTTTTCGAGAAAAATGTTCCATTTGATGTATATTTATACAAGTACACGCCTGGTACTGACAGACAGAGCTACCTCATTCGAAGGTATACGGTAAATCGCTCTATCGCTACTACCGTGCTAGTGCATGTCGCTAAAATCAAGTGTCAAGTGTTTTAATTTTTTATATATTTTATAAACTCCATACCAAATATCAAAATTCGGAGAATGCTATGTCATGTAGATTTGATTATAGTTTCCAGAAAACGTAAAGTTGTTATAATTGTGTTTGAAATGTAGTTGTGGCGGCGTTTCCGAGTTAGCGAATTCAGCGTTGAAATGGACCGTTTCATGAAACAAATTATTTTTCCTCCAATGTTCATCTAAACAGCGATTCAGATTAAAAATAGGGACATTTTTTATAATTCTATACCAAAATTCAATTATTTGAATTTTGCGATAAATAGAAAAATCTGCCAAATTCACAAAGTGCTGTCGAAGTTTGTTTCCAGACGAAAGTCTAAAACTAGTTAAACCATTTTAAGAGAACTATAGAAACAGAGTTAGTTAAGATATGAAAGCCCCATACCTCTGATAAGAAAAAAATGGTAAAAATGAAATTATCGAATAGTCTCATCTTTTAGGATACATTCAAGGAAATATGATCAAATAAGGAATTCAGCAAAAACAATTCAGTTTGTTCAAAAGCCTTCTTTAGAATCAGAAAATAACACTGTGTCATCAGCTTATTATAAAACTAATATTTGTTTATCACCTTATGTGAAATAACCAAATTGAATGGTATATTGAAGAAAATTTATGTGATTTGACTCGTAATTCGTAATTAAGTATAATTAAGCTATGCCATTTGCGAGAATCATGGCTCTCTCGATGAAATAAAATCCATCTAGGCACAAAAGCAAACCAAAATTTTATATCTTCTATAATTATCAAGTTACTAATTGATACTTCATTGTCAATGTAAGTAACACGTTATTGCTACAGTATCCTGAAAAATATATAGTGTATGGCGACAAAACCGATATTATCTACAATATATGACTTAGCAACTGAAAGCATTTCTTTCATAAACACTAGTGGATTGCTAGTGTGTGGATCTTTGGAAAACCAAAAAATATGTCGGCAGATATTCAGCCAGATATTGGGAGACAGCCTGCTTTTGTTGGAATAATGTTAACATTGTGCGTCATAGGTAATAGATTACAACTTATTTAGCTGCATTTTAATTCCATATATTAAAGTTCCATAATGCATCAGATATGATTTTATTTTTTAAATTTTTTTTTTAATTTTCATGCACTTTTATAATATCCAAAAAGTTACTTATTGGGCAATTACGTAACCATCTTTTTCGTCTGTTGCTTTTTTTTCGCAATGAATGCATTTAAAATTTATTATAAGTATTTTGAATGGACGTCAAAATATTACTTTGTTTACGTTTTGCTTCTTTTATGACAAATTATTTCACATTTATCGCTATAGTGTATCTAACGTGTCTCTAAAACCATTATTTAAACATTATAAAATTGATAAGAGGTAAAAATTTATTTGTTTTTGAGGCTTAATGTGTCTTTATAGATGCATACCTCCATTTGCGTCAAATAACATCAACCTTGAGAAAAATTAACTAAGATTGAAAAGTAAAAAGATTCAAGATGCAAGAAATAATTTACCTGTTATGTGCGATTTATGATTGATTTTATAGTATTAAAAATCACCATATTTCTACTGTATGATTATTGAAGTAAAATCTACTATTTTGACCTTCTTTTTTGGTAATTAAAATAGAATGAAAGTGGCGTTTGTATTGTATATATTACTTTCTTTGTACACTAAACAAAGTAGTATCTTGACTAATTCACTATAATTATATCAATTGCAAACAGAGCAAAAGTTAGTTCATCTATGTGGCACATAAATATTTTTTGGAAACTGTAACAAATTTCCAAAAATATTAGTTTTTGAAAAATAAAAATAAAAGCATTTCTGGGGCATAATGGACCTTTACATGAGTACGCTTGAAATCAAATTATTTAGTAACTTGTATTATATATATAAATTACTTGAAATAGCAATTTAACATTACTTTTATCTTTTCAGCTGTGTTGCTCAACTTGTTGGTGATCCTTGCAGTTGTTAAGTTTGGTCGAGGCCGTTCGTCCATCGACATATTTGTCTCAAACTTGGCTGTAAGTGACATCCTACATGCGGGCATTGTCACGCCAATTTACTTCAAAAACGTGACCGTGTATCACAAAAATTTCTACGGAGGTAAAATTTGTTTTTGAAAAAATTTAATGCTGTGCATTTAAAGGCCTATTATGCCCCAGTAATGCTTTCTTTCCTTTTTTGGTATTCTTCTATAGTTTCCAGAAAAAGTAACTCGTGGCCAGTTACATGAACTGTCTTCTTCTTCTGTCGCTTTTTTGGCAATAGGCATTTAAATGGTGACTTAGTATTCTGATTTGATTTACTGTTTGTTTACATTTTGCTGAATTTATAACATATTATGTTACATTTAGCGCTATTTTATTCAGCTAACAAGCATCTGGCATGCTCTATAACAATTTTTTAAACGTTATATAACTGTTTAACATTTATAAAGAAGTTTCTGAAGGATAATGTGCCTTTAAGCATTCATTTTGCTTATTTTTATACAGTGTTACCATTAGCTTATTTACCATGCTGCTTATAGGTTAATACTAAATTTTATAAATTTATATAAAAAAAAAAAACAATTTCTTACAAACTTATGTGTTCCATGATATTTATAGTAACAAATACGCTATCTATAGACGTTTCCGTTATCCTTTTACCTTTTAGATATAATTTTCCATTCAAAGCTCTTATATATATTATAGGGATTCTTTTTCCATTAGATCACTGATACGGCTGCTGATTTCAGTTTATCATTTTATAAATCAAATCAGTTTACCATTTTGAATATTTTATGGAAAAATAAACCTTTGAAATTCATCTCTGGAAATAATTCCTCTTTTCAGGCGGATTTGTTTGTAAACTGACCATGTTCATCCCGTTGCTAAGCATACTTGGAGGGACTTTAACCATGGTTGCCATCTCTCTTGACAGATATAGAATGTATGTTACCAAGAAACAACCTATCACTCGACGCCAAGCCCTTTTTGTTGTTGCGCTCATTTGGATAACCGCGTTCTTAATCTCGTCACCCCACTTTTACGAATATAATGTTTATGAAGACGCAGATGAGAAAAATCAGAATCACACGTATACGGCATGTGGATCTGAAGGCATTGCAGAAAATTTTGAGACAATCTACGCATCTTGTGTCGTGACCTTGGCATTTCTCGTTCCGGTCCTCGTTTTAGCCATCTGCTACACAAAAGTCATGATTCACGTGCGGAAACATAGCAGACGACTTCGATGTACTCAGAGTATTCCGACTAATGCCTCATGTTCTACTGAAAGCATTACCACGACAAATAGGATGGTGTCCGCGGAGAAAATTCGCAAGCTGAATATGCTGATACTGATTTCAACAACATTTATCGCCCTTTGGACACCATACTTCATCATGTTCGCATTAACGGTAATTCTTTAAACTTTAATTCTTTAAACGTTATCTTAACATGCGTGTATAGCTAAATTATGTTATTCTTTATCGTTTTTGAAAATTTTATTTAAAATTTAAAAAAAAAATGAAGAATGTTTTTTCTTGTTCTTTCTTGCACCTTGTGTTGCAAGATACGCATACAAATGCATTTCTGTTGACACAAACAGTTGAGTTATTTCATTATATTTCTTTAATGAATTTATTGTTATTTGCATGTGCAGATCTAGCATTGATCAAAATTTTGCACTGAAAGTCAAGATCCATACTTCAATCTTTTGAATTAGCAAACTTTTGTGTTTCATGTAAAACTGCCCTTAGGCGAGAGACATTGGTAACTCTGTTACAAATTCTTGTTCCTTTACATCCAAACTCCAAATTGGGGTAAACTAGCATACATAATCAGCCCAATGATTATTTTGAATTTGCGTTGAAGTATGGGGGAGCATTGTTGTAGTAATCAGCATTTAAGACTTATTGAATTACAAGTAGTATTATAATATATTTGTTCGTTAAAGGAACTTCACTGAGGTCCTAACTCATAAAAAGATAAAATTTGAAATTCGTACCTAGATCAGCTGGGGCACATACAACAAAGTGACATAAAGATATAACTTAGAAATATATTCGGAAATAAGTTGAAAATCGTTATTTGTGCTATTCATAGCCTTTTCAATTTTGCGTCATTTTTCACAATAAGAATAAATCATTTTACTGGAAAAACGAAGTGAATAAATGAACTGAGATTTTGCACAACCAAGGTAGATCTACATCAATTGGAACAGTAAAATTACTTCCACTCCAATAACGTCAAAAAAAAAACTCTGTGGGGTCATTTAATATTTGAGACAGTTTGATAATCATGGATATTTGTTATTCTTTCAGGAGATTACCGGTACAGACGATACTGCTCACTTTTTGGAGTGGCCTCATGTGGTAAACCGGACAATGACTGTACTGAGTACAATCTCAAATCCACTGATATACCTGGTGTACAGCAAAACATGTAGACAGACTATTCTTGACATCTTAACATGCACTTCAATCCGTGAGCCTCAGGTGGAAGGAACAGTAGGTGAACCAAGTCACAAGGTGGGCCCGGCGAATGAGAACTGGAATGCAAGTGAATATGGAAGGACAGATGTAATAAAAGTCAATATTTAAAATGCGACGTAGTATTTGTCGACTTCTCGAGGTTTGATTGTGAACCGTTTCACACATAGTTGATAATGAGTTATGGCGTTGACAGTTTCATTAGTGTTGTTGTTCTTGCTGCTGTTGTATTTATTTTACCTAAGTTATCAATAACACCAGATTTGATGCAGCTTGTATTATTTATTGAATGCTTCTTTTGTTTCATCCAAATAAATTACCATTCCAATTTTAGAAACTTCTAGAGAGGCAAAATGAAAAGCAATGTTTTGAGTCATATCTTGATTGAAGTTTTTTCTTAGCACTGCTCATTTAGGCCCCGCATCAAGACAGTTAATTAAAAAACATTGAAATTGACAAAGAACGGTTTTAAATGATGAAATGGTCACGTCGTTTAAAGAATTTGAATGCGATATTTTTGACGCTCATTGTTTTGTATCTAGAGATTAATAACTTGGTTGCTGACCTCAGGTCATTAAAAGAAGCAATCTTGGAACTCATTCATTATCCCCTTTGTTCACCACGTTTAGTTTTGCCAGACATTCATGTATTCCCTTAGTGGCTAAAAATCATTTATTTAATATCGATGTTTGGAAAAATAATGACGATACGCATATTTGACTCTGTGGAAAGGTTTTTTTCTTATTAAAAAGGAATGTAACATTGCAGCCCTTCAACAATGATTATATAAAGTATGTAAACCACGTTAAAAGATATTTTCAAATATAATACAAAATGATTCAAAGTTTATTTCAATCAGAACCATTAGGCTTAAAAGCCCATGAGGCATACACATACAAAACTTTATTACGAACAGTTTATACATTTAACAATAATTTCATTATAACAATATATCATGCAAATATAATTTACTTTGGAGAAGGTTTTTTCAACCTTATTCACACTTACCAATTGTGACATATTTCGAACTAAATTTCAGGTTACCTCTTTCCAGTTTTAAAGTCAACCTTTTAAGGAAACGAAACATAAAGGTGACTGACTGGAGTGAACATAATATTAAGATAAACTACATGACCAATGTACTTTTTTCTGTGTGATAAGACTATTGTGCTACATATGAAAGACAACTTAACACAATACACATAAATATCCATTATATAAATTATTGTATAAATGTCTCCATAAATGTGAGACATAACTTTTAGATCTTTCCACAATTATGAAACACTGATATGTGTATAATAACAATTCTAACACGGTTCACACCATTGATAGATCTTTTATTTGAATTACAATAGATTTAACCACAAATATTGACGTGCTCTTTTGTTAACAAATATGTAGTGGTGCTTTTTTTATTGTAACCACTTATCTGATAATAAGAATAAGACGGGTCAGGGATCTATGCATTCCCGTATCAAACATATTGGGCATTCAAGACGTGCATTACACGATACATGCACATCATAAAGCTCGAATATGACTTGAGTATACCACTTGACCCTTGGAAAATTACTTCTTCACTAAATGATGTTTAACGTATTTTTATTAATTCGATTTTATAAGTATCTTTAAACAGAAATACGGAATAATAACTGAATTTTCTTGCATAATAGTATAATAATGCAACGTTTATCTTTACATGTTTTGTAATGAAAGTGGATTGGTCTTTAATTGGCACACTATTCATATATATTTCAAATATTGATAAAAACAAAAGATTTGTTTTATTCCAAAAATATTCTAAAAATAATTCTCTTGATAATTAAACGTTAGTGATATGTTTAAGCATGATCATTTATGTAACGAAAAATAATATTTTGTTCTAGCAAAAAAATAATTATTTATTGATAAATATTGATGTAAAAGATATGCAATATTGGATCATGTATCTCACACGTATTTACAATACCATTATATAATTCTTTTGTGGTTTATTCATACACTACCTATATAATTATTTATGGTATAACAGACAATTTTTATGAAAAACAAGGCCATTATGAAAACACTAAATTATTAACATTATATTCTTTATAGACCAAACCACATTATCGGCCTTCGTGCGTGATTATATATCAGCGTGTGTGAACTTGAACCTTGCATAATTCTTCAACAATGCAATAAAAAAGTGATCTATATCTACTTCCTAATTAGTACCCGAGAGACTACATATGAAACCGTCATATTTGGAATAGCGCGTTTGGCGATATCAATATTGTATTTAGATATATATCAAATTTTAGGGAACTCGATATAGGAACAAAAGCCTCAAAATCATATAATTTGGACTTATATTTTGGTGATAGGAAATATAGAAACTATTTTATTTATTTTATCTTAGAAGATGAATTTCACTTCATTTAAGAATTTTCGCTTCATGCTGAACTACGAAAAGATATATCAAATCACTTTTTGAAAAGGGCAAATATACCTAAATGTATTGCATTAATGAAATAAGAAAATGAAAAAGAATTAGAATCTAATCAATGATTTTTTTAAAGAAAGCATTCGATGTACGAGATACAACTCTTTTTAACTAATAAAACAAATTGTTTGTCCCGAACGCTGCTAAATATTTGTGAATACTATATACAAGTGCATATAATTTTGTTTTATTTTGTGTTTTAAACCCTTATTGATAGGATGGTATCTTTCCTAAGTATTTGTTTATTAGAAATATCATAATGATTCGAAATATGTTGATTTATTTGACACTAAGTGATAGATTTTTTAGTTAACGATTTAAAGATATATGTTTAATAAAGTTTTGACATTGGCCATTTGACTATATTATATGCTGATTTGTTAAACGTACTGTGTACGAATGTCGCTACAGACCGGATGTATTCTGGAATAAAGTCTTATATAATTATATACTTTGTGTTTGTCATTTAGAAATAAATATTTTACTATTCAGTTATACTAGTAAATATGTAATGTATCGATATATTTATTTAAGTCTCTCGTTCATGTACATACACAATTTTAAATTCGGAAGCTCCCGTTATATACCACAAACAGTACACAAACAGTACATGACTATTCAAATATTGAATTATAAGAGTTTAGTTAAGACTAGTTATGCATCGTAATATCAACATAAAATGTAATTCTAATTATAAATCATATCCAGTTATAAATTATAGCTTTCTACAAACATCATATATAATATATGAAAATAAATGAAGCATGGTAAAAACCAAGCTTAAGAAGCACAGTTTTATATTTTAATTGAGGTTAAGATAACAAAGAAACGTCCTACAAATTAACCTTTTATTTACGCAGAATACTAAAACACTTGAATGGTACATAACAGTGTATTTACGCCATTAGGTTAACTTTTAATTATTCCACATCCCTAACATAACCTGGTTGTAACGTTAACGCTAATTAAGCCTCCATACAGCCTCGTTAAATCAAATAAAGATTATTTAGTTGCATGGGACATGGTCATGAAGTATCAAATATTTCACACTCCCCTTATCAAAAATACTCAAACAATGACCACGCTAACTTCAAACGATAGGATGGGGTTTTAAATGATACAAGCAAGACATAAACTTATGTAATCTTTAGATTTTATCAAGGATTTATTTACTTTATTTATCAATTAGTGAGGCAAGCACTCCTGTTCAATTTTCAAAAATAGGTATGACATTTTCAAGTAGGTGGGCGAGTTCTAGTTTAATCCCAATCAGTATAAATGGAACGCGGGCAGCTGGTGGCACATCATTCGAGTGGTGAAGTTCATTTGCAATAAGTCATTTAAATACTTAATTTCAAAAAATAAGAAAAAAGAATGGAAAGTTTCCTTGTCTTTGCGCTAGTTGCTTTAATTTTAGTCTCAGCAGTTCAATCCGAACTTTGTGAAATCACGGCGGGCAGTAGTATAAAGTGGTCCCGTCACCCGGACGATTGCTCTACGGCATATATGTGTCTTCTTGGAAAGGTAGTTTCGTACACATGCCCTGAGGGATATGTTGTTAGTTCAGATGACGTTTCTTGCATTCCTGCTGGCTCACAATTTGATGATTGTAAGTATGCTACTTATTTAGTCTGAATTCTTCCTCTCACAGATTGTGAGATATACAATGCTCAAATTTGATGTTTGAAAATATTTATAACTACTACACAACCTCTTTGCAAATATAAATTAAACATGATTCGGCTTCATTCAAAGTAGAACTGTTATGTTTTTTAAACTCTATACACTATTATAGTGGTCACAATATGAATATAAAGTGTCATTAAAAAATGGCAGTTTTTTTAAGTAAGACCGATTTCACTTGACCTTTAATATATAGGAAATGCAGCTTTCAATACAAAATTTGAACACTTTCTTTAAATTAAAATCATTCAGTAAGGATTTCGTGGGTTTCAATAAATTCTGTGATAAAAATATTTTGCTCAAAGATGATCATAGTATATCTTTAAGCTTTTAGAAAATAAGAATGTTATTTTACGAGCTCTACTTTACTATTGGCTAACTTACTTTATTTAATTTTATAACAATGTTAATGTTAATCGTGCTCAATACTTTTTATTAAATGGAAACAAATAATGCCTTGGGAAAAAATGACAGTGACCGAGAGTAAAACCTTTCTGTCTCTCTGTTTGCCTGTCTGTCTGTCTATAGACAGGTTAAGAAGAGTGTGGTTTTCTTTTTTTCAAGTAAATAAACAAAGGCATAGAAACAAATACATCGTCAGCTCACAAATATCAGTCATAAAAATTGATGTTGTTGACGGGATTGATATGATTTATCGGTATGAATTTTATAATGATACTGTGTACTTATTTATCGAGTAACTTTTGCGCAAAAATATTTAATAATTCTCGATACTAATATACTATCACAATGTGATACATTGAGTGTTTAAACTTGATAAAAATAACTGGGTATTGGATTAAACCGACTGATGTATCACGCTTCTTTGTTCGTTCGTCAAAAACCAGCGGCATTGTCCTTTCCTCATTAACAGATTCAGTACTTATATAAGTATATAATTTATTTATTTATAAATCGATTCATCTTTATTTGTATATTTGTTTTCAGGTACGGAGTTAGAACGAATAATTTTACACGACGTTGAAATTACGCCATTGAATATTGCATCGTCATGTAAAGAAGGGAATAAATTACAAGATGAGGCTAATTGTGCGATGTACTCGGAATGTGTGGCTTTACCAGATGGTAACACTACAATGGTGTCCCAAGAATGCAAATACCCTTTTCTATTTAATGTTAAGTCCGGAAAATGTGAACATTTCAAAGATGTCAAGTGCGATCCAGGACAAATTGTACCAAAAAGTCCTTGTAAGTCAATATTTGATCACACGTTCATGATACTTATTGTTTTATTATTTTTTGCCACTTAATTTCAACGATCTAAATTTCAATATATTGGTCACTTATAAAAAGCCCATTAAGCCTCAGAAAATGACTTAAATTGAACTTTTAAAAAGTCTTTGTACATGCTCTGAAACATTTTTTTAAATATTAGATAACTGAAGTTTTCCCTTTCCGAAGAAATAAAAATTTATCTGTTTATGAAGCAAATTATTCCTTTAACGTTTGTGTTGATCTTAAGTTTATACCTTAAGTGATACTGTATAGCAAACACAACTTCTCGACCATATTCATCTTTGTTCCCAAATTTTTTTAACTGTAAGAATGTCTTTAAGGCTTTCTTGAAAATGTATGATAATACTAGTATTTGAATTTTATTTTATGGAAGATTGTGATGCATTCGAGAATAATCTTTTTACTAATATTAAAGAAAAACAAGATGAAAAAGGATGGTAATAATAAAAATGATTTATTGACGTGTAATTGAATTTTACAGGCGACTACAAAGCATTTCAATGTTCGTCTGCTCAATGTATTCCTTGTAACATCCGGTTCCCAACATGCACCGGGCTTCCGGACGGACTGAATCCATGGGTTGGTCGTGAATGGACGCCGGATTACGTAACATGTGAAGAAGAACGAGTCATACTTCAAGATCAATGCAAAAGTGAGAAAGAACCACAAGTGTTTCACCCCAATGAAAAGACATGCGTTGTGTATGACGTCAAAAAGATTGTTGGATAGAAACTGACGTGAACATTTTCAATGGCATCGAATCTCAGCATACTCATTTGAACACTTAACTTATTCGCGAAATACTCGATGAATAAATCTTATTAAAGAAAAAATGCTTTCTTTATTAACCCTATATAGTGCGGAGATAAGCCCTGGTGAGAGTCACAAGGTCGAATTCCTGTTATCTCGTACATTACCTTAATCTATAGAACAGAAAATCGAAACGCTAAAGAACACCGTTTGATTTATAAAGACAATTTTTAACTATATTTTAGCATTGTCACAGATTTTATACTATGTGATATTACTCTATGATAATATAATAGCATATGTATATATCTGACATTGAGAACCTTGATATAATAAGGTACACAAAATATTTTTTATTATATTTTTCCAATCTTTGAATGTCATAGTCGGTTGGTTTGTTCTTACTGTTGTGTTAGAGATCCATTTCCGAAGTTTGACGGGTAATGCCGAAAAGCCGCGATTGACTAGTATACGAAATAAAAATATTGTATATCAATGCGATGACTGTGTTATTTTCATATAACAGCATCTAAATTGAATGATCGATTTCTGAAAACGGAGAATAGGTGATACTGTTTAGCAAACGCAACTTCTCGTCCCTTTCCGTCAAACTTCAGAGAAGGACCTCGAACACAATAGTAAGGATACACAGAACGGATACGGTTTTCGATCTAACCTACGCTAAGAAACATGTAAACAAACAGTAATTGTATGTTGTGAGTTGTTGACTAAGTGAATTCAAATATATTGAGTAAAAGTCCACCTTAATTGCTGGTCATTACGTGGTATCTAATTATGCCAGGGTTAACTTAAGTCTAAACTTATTTCAAAATTGTTTTCGATTCGTTGTGAATCAAGAGCATTATCATGCATGCTCATAAATAATGGGCAAAATACCATCAGAAATACACGACAGTTATTTATTAACAAAATAATTTATTCATAAATAATTTCTATAAACAATTGCTACACGAACGTAAAATGAGAAATCATGAAACAAAATGCTGTCAATCTAAGCACACTAACTAAAACTGGAAATGTATTTGAATTTATTCTCGTAGCTGCACCACGCAACTCGTACCAACCTGAAAATAAATAAATTAAGTTTTGATAAGTGCACGCGGCGACATCTACAAATGTAATATACTATATATTAAAGGCCCATTATGCCTAAAAAAATGCTTTCATTTTTATTTCTTTTACACTTTTAATTTTTTTTTGTTATATATTAAAAAGAAATATACTCATTTGCCACATAGATGAACTTTTGCTTTTTGCATTGTTTGAAACTGGTAAAACTATGGTGAATTAGTATTTTTTTTGGAAGTAACAATGCAACTTGTTTACATTTAGCTATCTTAAAGACACATTACTGTACGTTCAGCCCTACTTTCTTTAGTTGTTAATCTTCTAAGATGCTCTAAATCAATTATAATTTACATGTTATATGCAATTAATGACTAATTTTTGCAGTATTTATCTCAATATTTCTACTGCCTGACTAACGCAGTCTGCACTATATTTGCATATTCTGACGCTGTTTTCTAATGTCCGAAGATTTTAAGTGCACTTTGCAATGTGTAAATTACTTTCTTTGGTCACTTGAAAATATTTTACTTGTAAATGCATTTGAAATTTTTTCTTGAAAATTAGCATGAATCTTGAGGAATACTGCTTTAACCTTTGATATTAAGATAAAACATGTGCTGCCGAGACTGCATAAGGTTACACAAATATCTAAATTGTCTAAAACACAAATTCAGAAATTCCTGTGCTTCTTGAAAATCCTGATACAACCTTTACCTCCAATTTTGCGTTGGAGCAGTCTATTTTAAAATTGGATGGACTTTCGTATCGTTTCAAAACACAAAAACTGAAAAAACGGATAAGCGGACCGGCCAAACAAGACATAATCATGTGACAGTGAAAGGGAGCTAATTCATACTTACTACAACTTGTCTCGTCAGACCTATCGAAGCAGTGGTCTTTCTTATCACAGAGAAGTTTTGGGTCTATACAACCCGAATCGTCATGGCAACGGAACAACCCAAAACACGAATCTTCCGTCGTCGTCGTTGTCGGCGCTGCTATAAAATAAACAGGAGAATGATTATTATTTTAAGCCCTTTGAACTCTGCATTTTAGTGTGAAAATACTGAAGATGAACATTAATATAGTAAGGTCATTTAGAATAAAATCAGCTGGAATCAAATATATCTAAGCAAAATAAATTATTCGTGACACCTCGTTGTGAGTATTGAAGGTAAAAAGCCGAAGGTGGGTGACCGTTTGCGACTCTGAACAACTGTGTAGAAAATTGCTTTTTCTTGAAATGTTTAGATAGTGTGGAAAAAAAACAACAACAACATTTCTTTAGTAATTATGTACACACAAATACAATTATTTTGTCCTTTTTCATTCATGCACTCTTTCAACTTTTTTTAAAATAACATAATAGGCTTTCCATAGTTTTAAAAGAACAGAAACGGTAATTAATTAATACTTAAAATCACAAATAGTTCGCAGCTTCATAGTACTGAAATAAAGATTTCGAATAAAATGAATGAATTGTGTACAGTTGATTTAAGGAACATAAATCAGCACATTTTAATGTCTCTTGAAATATCAAAACAGATTTTGTTCATTTATATGCGACGTCTTAATTTTTCTAAAAACAATTAGTAAACTGATTTACGACTAAGAAGGTGAGGAAATATGCAACTAGACTAGGACACTGACGTAATACCATTCCGGGTCTCTACCGACAGAGTTATCCGGTCGCCCTAATTAGCGAACAGTTCTAACACGTGACATACGTATCAGCCATATAGATAAACAATTCAACATAACTTTATTTAACACATTAAATATCTCTATAATGTTATAAAACACATTGGAAAATGAAGATAAAATCTTTCATCTCACCTAATGTTACAACAGCATCCCGTTTTGAGTCATCCCATTTCCATGTCCAATCAGATTCTAGATAATAAATAAAAGAATTTTAAACGAATGCTTAAAAAAACTTAAGAATCTGAACAGATTAAACAGTGTTTATTTAATCTTGATTGTAAAGAAATTAAAAAAAAAACAAATGAATTTTATGTGAAACAAAATGCCAACACCTTAGCCATTAGACAAACTCTCTTTTTTTTGGTTTCTAATCAGTTGAGAATATTAATAAAATATTTCCTCTAAATAATCTCCAATTTAATCACATATATGGAACATGGTTTAAACTCTTAATTTTTATAATATTAAAACATTAACAAATGCTTTATTAAGTTTTAGACTATTTCCGATCGGTATGAAAAAAATCTGATTTTATGGGGGGGGGGGGGCATTTACATTTACCCTTGTCCGTCCGTCCATCCGTCCGTTCCCTTTTTGTGTCGCACGTAACTTAAAAAGTATTTGACCTAGAGTCACAACAACCTTACAGGAATGTTTATCAGCATGTGTAGTTGTGCACCTGGGTATATTCGTGTGGATATTTTTAGTATTTTTAGAGTTATTGCCCTTGACTTAGTAAACATTTCCAATTTTCAACTTGTGTCGCACGTAACTTAAAAAGTATTTGACATAGAGTCATGAAACCTTACATGAATGTTGCTCAGCATGTGTAGTTGTGCACCTTGGTATTTTCGTGTGGATATTTTTAGTATTTTTAGATTTATTGCCCTTGACTTAGTAAAAAATTACCATTATTTAACTTGTGTCGCACGTAACTAAAATAATATTTGACCTAGAGTCATGAAACCTTAAAGGAATGTTGATCGGCATGTGTAGTTGTGCACCTGGGTATTTTCGTGTGGATATTTTTTAGTATTTTTAGAGTTATTGCCCTTGACTTAGTAAAAAATTACAATATTTAACTTGTGTTGCATGTAACTCAAAAGTTTAAGACCTGTAGGCCTGAAAGTTTACAAGAATGTTGGTCAGCATGTGTACTTATGCACCTTGGGGTTTTCTTGTGGATTTATTTAAGTATTTGTAGTATTTGCCCTTTCCTTAATAAAAGAATTTTAGTTTTCAACTTGGGCGCATGTAGCCAAAAAATAAATATTTGACCTAGAGACATATGATTGACAAATCGGTGGAGTGTGGGGGCACCCGTGTCTTATGGACACATTTCTAGTTTATAGTTGATAGTTAATAGTTTTATTTCAATATTCCATTGGACCAAATGGTCCATGAGGATAAACAGATACATGATACATGACAAGACAGTGTAAAGCATATACATAACATGTGTAAGTGGAGAAGGTATACACCAAAATGTATATCATCAATTAAAATGAACATTAGAACAAAAGGACATTTAACTTAAGCTAATGTTAAATAAATTACCACTGTCTAGCAAAACTTACAGAGAAGTGAACTTCATACATTGTATTGAATTAATTTGATAAGATACATGTATATATATAATGCATCATATAAATTTATATTCATATTTGCTCGAGTATGTATATGCTGTTCTTGTCGAATCAAAATACAAGAACAACATAACCATTTGTCTGTGAATTTAGATATAGAACGTGAATCAATTTAAAAAATTAAATGAATTTGACATTATTTGGAATTCATACAGTACAAACGCTGGTTGTTCATTGGTTACATTTTTTTAAGGATTTGAAATAAAAATATTTATCCGTACCGCTATATTACATAGAATGACAAAATAATGTAAGTAAAACAGTAGCATTTGAATTTAAAATAAAATCTGAAAGCAGTAAATTTAGTAATGTCCTTACCAAAAGTTTCTGTTTTGGTACATATAAGCACGGGGTTCTCATCTGAATTATCACCGCAGTGATCAATACCATCACAAATAAGATCGTCATGGATACACCACATGTTCTCACACATAAACCCCGCCGCCGACGGACATCCAACTTTAATTATAAAAATTTGTTAATTGTTACACTTTGTTTAAACTTATTTATTCAATATAACATTAAACATGTGAACAAAGGGCTAGGTTCACGAAGTACTGAAAATTGCCCTATCATAGAAACTCTTCAAACTTTGTAATATGATTGTCCGGGGAAGGCTTAAAAGTAAAACATACAAATTTTTGTTTTCAAAACTATATTTTTGTTTCCATGGCAACGCAAAACAGAATACTCAAAATTATCTTTTTTCTCCATTTAGGTACATTTCTGATTGAAAGATTCACATTTGTTTCATTTATTTGTAAAACTTGCATTAAAGTTTGTAAAATCAAATATTTTGTTAGTTTCTTACAATGCAATTCAATTATAATCTCCATAGCAACCATTCTAAAAACAATTAGCTAAATGGTATCATATACTGAAAACTTCAGTATATTTAGCATTAAAATGTCAACATACAAAATCTATATCAACATAAATAGTCATGTACTGAAATTATCGAATGTTAAATGTAAATACATAATCCCTGTTGCCATAGCAACGATAAACAACATTCTTAAATTCGCTTTTTCTATATTTAATTGCATGTATATTTCTCATTTAATGACTAACATTTGTTCCATATATTTGTAAAACTTGCCTTAACTTTTTAGATAAGAATATGTTGTTAGTTTCTCGCATTGAAATTCAATTTTAATCTCCACAGTAACCATTCTTAACATGTTTAGGTAAATTGTATCAAATATTGAAAATGTCAGTTTTTGCAATGTACAAAAAAAAAACTACATGTGTATTACATTAATTATTATGTTTTGAATTCAAATTCAATGATAATCACCATAACAACTTTTCTTAACATGCTTAACTAAATTGTATCATTAATTGAAAATGTCAGTTTTTGCAGTGTACAAAAAAAAACTACATGTATATTAAAGTA